CCTCCGAAGCATTTAGCGTACCTGTCCCATATTCTGATTCTCGGCTGGACCACCTTCAATTACGTTGAACTCCATAAAAGCAAAGAATCCCGCTTGTGCAGTACAGATTGCTGTCAATCGTAGACAACCAGAGGCTGGATCTGGGGTCTCCAATCTAGAAAAAAATTTTTCGTACAGTACCCAGAAATAGAAGAAAGTGATACGCTCTACCTGAATGATGAATCGATTCTACCTGGATCACCATTAGCTTCGTCAAAAGAGACTTGGGAGGCTTGACAAGTCTGACAGGCGCCTAAAATTGTCGTAACATATTTTTAAACAAAAGGAGAAGAGAAGCTTGCTTGATTTTTTCGCTTACTTAATGCTGGGGCCGCGGTAGTAGTCGTTACGGTTCCTGCTCTTGTCGTCGTCGTTGTTTGCGCAAATGCTGTTGTCGTGACGGGAGGTCTGGTAGTGGTGGTCCGAGGAGCAGCTGATCCTGGATCGGTGGCAACACACGAGAAGGTGAAGGGTACGGCAGTCAGAAAGCCGAATAGCAGGAAAAAATTTTCCATCTGGAAATGTTGTTTGATAATTTGGATCTTGTCCAAGGTAAAGAAAATGGAAAGTTTTCTTATTGAAAATTAGAGCTCTCTGTTCACTGCTCTTAGATTTTGCTCTGGGAAAGACAAAGTATGGAGATTTGTTGATATTTAGAATCTCTCGAATTTGATTTTAGGTCTTTATTATAGAAATATACAAAAAACGAAAAATTCACTCTTGACTATTTGTCTTTAAGTAAACATTGTTGTATCGTGAACATTTTTTTAAGCAAGATTATAAAGATTGCTTCTAGCCTATGGTGATTGAGAGGCTTCTTTGACACAGTATTCAAAAAAATAAATCAGAATTCTGTTATAATTGTCATCCGACCCCAAGACTATTTGTGCTTCTTTGCAGACTTGGAGAAATTGTGGTGCACCGAAAGGAAAGGATTTTAAAGCACTTTTTATCAGATTCATAGTCTTAACTCCTATTTGATTGTACCTAATCCATTTAAAGCTGATAAAATCTTTTAATTAATCAATTAGAATGATAGAATATGTACGAGTGCGAACAAGTTGTTTAA